TTTTTATTACGGGTCAGCAGAGTTTGATATCAATTTCTTTTTGGATCAGGTATTGCTCTGATACCATGAAGAAAATTGAGAGAAAATATTCTTCATTCTTTTGATGAATGATTTCCACACATATATATACAAGTCTACTACCCTAACAACCTAACAAATTCTGGAGAGAAACCTAACAAAATTCTGTTTCTAAGGACAAATTTGTTGTAACAAAGTTGTTGGTGATTCCCTCCATTTACAGCACATAACAGTTGTAAATAACCATTTTTAATCCTAATTTATTCTTCTAATTATTATATTTTCTACAGTTTTCCTATAATTTTCCTCTTAGCTCATAACAAGAGACAAAGGCAGAAGAATCTTTTCTCCAACTCTATGGCTAATAAAGCATGGATGGTGGACTTAATAAGGAATCTCAATTACTAGAAGGTAAACAACTATGTAAATCTAACAATATTTGCCACTACATGGGGAGCTGTTTGCAGCTCCGATGAGCTCTTTGGAAGCTTAACTCAAGATGGATCTTCTCGATAAAGCCATATTACTCCAATTTGACAAGCAATGGAAGAACTAACAAAGAATTTCAACAAACTTTGGTTTTAAAGAACAAAGTATCACCAAGAGTTCTAACTTTTGCTTAGGAAGTGGCAAGATCGTTGTGAAAGGATGTTATCTAGGCAAGAGAGCTGCAAAGATTATCAAGCATCTCCTCCTATGGTGTCTTATGTTCCATCAGCTTTGGTCTTTGCCTTATAATCCACTTTGGGTTAAATGGGTTGTGCTTAGCTATATCAACAAGGAGATAATAGCATGGAGAGGCATCAGAGGGGATACTAAAAATAAGCACTTAGGTCTTATCCTCTTAGCTACCTTATGAGTCATTGGAAAGAAAGAAACAGGAGAATTTTTTAAGGCATAGAATTGTGTTTGGTAGAATTGAGGATACTTGGTTCTAAACCCTAGGTTTTTTAATTTAGTGTCATCCTCTTTACACTTGTGAGGACTTAGAGGACCTTAATGATATTTTGTCAAACTTGAAAACGATTTTACATATGGGTTGCATCCCGTAAGTGCTAGTTAATACTACTACACTTTTTTTCCTTAAAAAAAAAGAATTGCCTAACCAACCATTTTCCAGGACAATATAAGTGTATACACCCTTAGATGGACGAGATGAAAAGGAAGCATAAACCTTAGAGCTAGGAGCTCCGATGATTTAAGGCATTCCTAGGTTTGGTATCTTATCCATTATAGTAGAGCCCATGATCTTAACCCACGCCTCAAGGAAGAGGATTCCAAAGGAAAATGCAAAAGTGACTTAGCCGTTACATAAAGGTTCTTATACACCAAGTTCACATGCTTAACGCCCCCCATCCTTCTTAGAGAAACAGCACAATAGAAAATAAAATCGACAGTATATTTACCACATGACATAAATTACAATTTTTTTAATTAAAAAATTACTAGAAAGAGATAAAATACAGATGGAGGACAAGATTTCCTATTATAAGAGAGATTTTAAATATCAATAGAATGTTTCCCTTGAGCGAAAAAATATTAAATATTTTTTTATAGAAATATAAATATTTGTATTTAAGGAAAGAATGAAGAATAGTGAAAGAACAAAAAATTCTCAATAAAAAATAAATGAAAACAAGAAAAAGAAACCAACAACAGAATAGAAGTATCCAAGATCAGGAATAAAACTAAACCAAATCCTCAGTGGGAAGGTAACCAAACTAATACATAGGCATATCTTGTGTTAAGATTCAATAGTAGATTCACAAACCTAGATACAACATACAAGCGAGTGCAAGTACTTGCATGCTAAACAGCAAGGGAGAAGGTCCTACAAGAGATTCTTATAATCAAAATTGATCGAAAAATAAAATCATTAGAACATAAAATTACCTTCCTTGACATCTTACAGATTGCTTCTTGGTTTGCTATTCGTTCATAAGGAGGTGGAGCAAACTTGAAATAAGTCAGAACAGACCTGCAATAGAAAAGAAACCTCTTTGAAGGTATGTTCATTCTAAATTTAGTACAACTTCTTTTCGTTTATTGATCAATCTACAGCAGATAGCACCTGCTGAACACAGACAAACAAATATAACAAAGGATAGCCTTAATAAAAAAAGGAACAAATGAACAGGGTGCAATTGCCTTGACATGAATTTACAACTTTAGCTATGTGGTGAAAGAGCTCCTTTGAAAAGGAATTGATAATTGCATAAATGAACTTTAGTCACCCAAATTACAGGCACTGGAGGTTGTCCTATGACCTTAAAATTGGAAAGGTAATACTTTATGTTTCTAGCCACATTGCAACTCATTTATCAACCAATCAGTTCATTTCAAACAGCCCTTGACCTAACAAAGAAATCTCACACTCCAACCTTTTTAGTATATCTTCAAACCCGAAAGAATGTCAGATAAGTGATATTATTTGTCTCTCTAATTGCTTCTCAAATTACTCAAAACTTATTACAAGTAAAAGAGCAATTCATATTTCACATGCATGGAAATAAGTGACCTGACAAATATCAAAACAACAAAGAGAAAACATTATTCTGCCACAAGGATGTGCCGCATATAATAGAAAGTTCAATTACCCTGACAAAAAAGGAGCCAAATCAAGGGCGCGACAGAAGGCAAGGCAAGCACATTCGTGAAGATGCAAGCTTCTTCCTTGTTGATGATAAAAATCAATGACACTAACACCTTGACCCATGGCATTATCCAGAGTCAGTTTATCATCTGAATTATCTGATAGTAAGATAATATAATCTGAACTTGACCCCAGATTTCCGACCAAATGGAGCATAGCCACAACTTTATCAACAATCTTTCGAGCTATAGGTCGAAAACACCCGATCAACGGAATTGTGTAATTAGGGTGCAGAAAGATATCTGCCACCACTTTCACCACTTCTTCTTCTGTTACCATATCCCCCTAACAAGCCAGATTACAAAATCTAAATGCGAGAATGTAATACAATAGAAGAATAATAATATAATAACATAATATATAAGTATAAACATATATAGAGATATCAAGAGAAGAAACAAAATTAAAATAACCAGGTTTGTATGTTCCAAATATTTTAGAATCATAGATGTCATAATCATGGATTTAAAATCCAATGAACCCCAAGTCAGTTTCTTTTTTAGTAAACAACATCAAAAATTTCTTATGATCACAAAAGCTAAATGGTTTATTATAAAAAGATTGAAATCCTAGAATTTTAGAAATCTCGTATGGTAAGTTCGAGCAAACTAATAATTTAGTTTATCTGAGTCCACAAAGAATGTCGGTATATCTGTGCATGCACAGGCTCAATACCTTCTTGGCGAGTGAGTCCAACTGCGGATACCGCCCGAGCTGGGGGCAACGAGCAAGAAACCTGTCCACTGCGGATTCAAGACGGAAACTCCCATCGATAGCCATTTAACCCTGGTATCCACCGAAACAAACCTAAAGAAGCTTCAAAAGAAAAGATTAACTTAGCTAAGAAACATATAACACAGAGGTCCCAGTTTCTTTCCCTACTCTACCATTTTCCTTTGGTCTCACAACTAAATGAAACCGTTAAGCTTCCAAAAGGACAAACCTTCAAGATATTTGAAAGAACAACACTGTGTAATCTTTTCAATTAAATCTTTAAATCTTTCAAAAATGCCTAATAAAAAGTATCATTTTGCAGAGCTTTCCTTTCTGAAAGAGTTGAGAGCATATGATAATTATATATGTGTATATATATATATATAGGGCTTTAACGATTTTATCGAGTTATGATATGCAATCTCTCTGTTGTATTCCTCCCCTCTCTTCTCCTTTCTGCTCGTTTTAGGGTTTAAGACAACTTTTATAAACCCGCTGTGGCAAAGAAGCGGGACTCCCGACTGCTTCAATACAAACTCACTTCGGTTAAGCGGTTAGCTTTAAAATAACCCAAGGGAAAATTTTAAGGATTCTAGGGTTTTAGTCATAAACTATATATGTAGTTGTTATTACACATAAATCACATCATCAAAAAAATTAGTAAATATAACTTTAATTTAACTCTTCTTTAATTTAACATTTTTAATTAACATAATTTAATAAATGTACATATATTAGTTTGCCTACACATACTACCTTTATATTTTTTATTAGAATAAATTATTAATAAAATTATATTAGATATATATTATATTTTCCATAAATTTCTAAAATATAGTAGATAAAATATTAATAAAAATTATAAAAATTATGTTTGTTGAATATTGTAACGTCCCAGAATTTATTGAATATGGAAGTATTGAAGTAAATGACTATAGAAGAAAGCAATTTTAAAATTTAGAGTTTACATTCTTTACACAGTAAATTAGGATACCTAATAGAATTACGAAAATGTTTCTTTATAAAAGTTCAAATAACGGAATAAATAATTGAAACAAACGTAATAAAACAAATCATATAGGGTTAACTTCTACTGGTTAACTGTTATGGGATTCTGGAGGTAATTTTTATTCACAACTCTCTTATGGTTTAAGATCTTGATTTTGGTCTTTTTGATCTAAAATAGTTAAATAAAAGAAATAAACTACATTAGTTTAGTAAGAATATCACACTTAACACCGATATAAAAAATTAAAGGTTGGTAAAAATCGTCAAACAACCAATGGAGTCCTTGTTTCCTTTTAAATAAATTCGTTTAACTTAAAATGTGTTATTTCATACTTACATTTATGAGTTTCCAAAACTGATCTATGAAAACAAGAAGTCAAATAGCATTTCGATTACATACTTAAAATGAGCAATAACAATAAATTTACCAGCTTACCTGTTTACTAGTACCTTTGGAGGTCCATAGGGATCCTCCTTATGCGTGGACTCAATATCCAATTTATCGATTAACCGGTCGTTTCCATATCTCATTCGGTAATAATACCTCATCCGTTATGAGGATGAACTATATCTCCCAACTCCTTCCGGTATGGAACTTCTTAATCCCGTTCGACTGAGGTAATGTCTACAGTACAATTTTTTTTATGCATCAGGTCCATACACCATTCCCCAAGGTACCCAATAAATCGTTCATATTTTTCACACCATTAACCAATCACCAATTACATATCAGCATCTCATTTTTACCAATCAACAGTAAGTCATGCAAATAGTCAATATATAAATCAAGAAAATGTAATTATAACATTTATTTCAATCACTCAACAAATGAGAGAAATAGTTAAGCAATCAATGACGAGAGGACAAATAAATCTACAAATAAAAGTGCACACGGCAAACCAATAAATATATCATAACAATAGATAAACATTATAGATAATTTTGTACTGACTAGTTACTGGCTCCACTAGTGACCTATAATTAATTTTTAGAGTTTTTTAATTTTTACAATACACACCATTATTAATTATTAAATTTTAATTTACGAATACGAAAAAAATAGTGAGGGATTCTTACCCCATATCAGTGTTTAAAATATCATACTTTTCACTGTGCCTCCTAGCGGTTCCTGAATTTTCTGAATTTTTCCTACATAAATAAAAATACACATCACGTATCCAAAAATAGCTCAAAAAGGCCAAAATAAGTATTTTTGAACTTTTTCGCCAATTAAGGGTTTCGGCATGGCGCCGCTACCGTATTCTAGCGCCGACTCTGCCGCCCACGGCGACAGTTCCTCTCAGTCTGGCCATTTTTTGTCGGTTTTGGTCAGTTTTACATGAAAACCTACGAAAAACAAGGTTAGGGAACCTCTACCGACCGGAAAAGGGAAAAAGCGAGACCCTACTGGCGGAGGGGTCTCCCGGTGCAGCGGCTCTGCCGTTCCTCCTTTACGGTCGAGATTTTTGTTCAGCTAACCTGCACCAGAAAGAAATGAGGAACATGATGGTTAAAAAATCGATGGAAATAGAAAACGGGAACGGGTTCATCGGAGAAGGTTTTGGGTTTCAATTACAGTAGTTCGGTTGAGCTTCACTCATATTTTTCGGCTCATCCGTCAGCTTTTTGACTTCGATATGGGCACAGGGAGGTTTGAGATTCAATTATGAGCATAAGGGAGAAAAATCTTACCTTTTCGACGTCGATGATGGCTCCAGTGCGGCCACGACGGTGGCCGGTCTCTTTCTCTAGTGTTTGGTTCACTTTCTGGCTGCCCCCCTTCTTCTTCTCCGATCACCCTTCTGTCGGCTAGGATCTTGGTTCCCTGCGAAGAGGAGTTTAAATACTCATATTCATTAAATCTTGGTCATTCATTCGAGACAACGTGGCACATCCTCAGCCGTTGGATCTCTCTTATTTGAAAAATTAATTTGGGCCGCACAATCTAAACAAATCAAGTCGTTCGATCACACTTGAAGAGAAAATGCATATGCGCTGTCTGTGCGCGCGAGATGGGATTTGAGCCATTGGATCCACTGGCACACAGATCACTCGTGTGGCCTCTCACGTGGACACGTGTTCGTGTGTCTGCAATGCGGCACACGGGGACTAGTCGCGCTGCTGATGTTACGGTCCACACAGCGAACTTTTGAAAATTAACCCTAGTTTTTCATATTTCTTTTCAAATAGATTCTCATTTATTTCTATTTTGCCTCTAATTTTCGAAAATATTTTCGAATGTATCTAAAGATTTATTTTTCATCAAAATTTCATAAAAATTAAATTAAATTATTTTAAATATATTTTTTTATTAATATTAAATTATCTCATGCCAAATTTTTGGGTCCAAACGTTACAAATATAAATTGTATAAATTAATTACTTATACTTTTTATGTTTATTATTAATTCATATAACTTTTTATCCTATATAATCATTTTTTTGTGAGTTTTATCATATTTAAATTAAAAATTATTAATTACAATATATAATAAATAAAAGCAGTATATACAATGTATATCTTAATAATCAGAAATTTGAAGAGATATTTATTACAAAAATAAATAAGAACGTCTTACACATTGATATATTATTATTACAATAATTTATTTAATCTTTATTAAATATCTTATAATTAAATATGTAATATTCTGGGTTCGGGATAATTAACTTTGTAATAGTGACATCAAATTCTTCTTAAATGATAATAATAATAATAATAAAAGTTTTATTTATTAATAAAATGTAAAAATAATAAAGAAAAAGTTCATTTTGGCCTTTTGAAAAGAATTTCAAAAATCAAGACTTGTCTCTAATTTAAAAAATGGACTTGTTTAAAAGAAATTTGAAAAAACTGGGGTCACTTTATAAATTAAAAGGAAACAGACCACATGAGACGGCCACATTAGCATCATGACAAATTAGGATACATCGCATGATAGTCGTGTCAGTAGGCATCTCCACGCGGGAAGCCATGCTGGTGATCCGTGAAACGACCCCCAAAATTAAAAAGAAATATATATATTTATTCTAAGTAGGGAAGCGAAATAAAATAGATTATGATTAACATCCCTTACACAATAATCAAAACGTATTAAAGATGTAAAAGAATAAACTAACTAAAAGAAATATTATGAATGAATACTATAAGGAAAACTAATAAATTTTTAGGCTTCTACTCGTCGTCTTCCTGTGGAACGGGCTCGGGAACTAAGTCCTCCTGATCTGAAATGGTTAAGTAAGGAATGAGTTACACTAACCCAGTAAAGATGTCACACTATCTCACTGTCACAGTAGTAAAGGTTGGTAGAAAATAAAAACGACCAATGGAGTATAATTTATAACAAATTCATTTATCGATAATAAAACCCTCTACTGTCCACTTATCTCGGTGAGATTTATAAAAATAACTTATGAAAACAATAACGTTATAAACATTATAAGATCATGCACACTCTGTAACATAATACATACCATACTTTCATATTTCAATCATCATGTAACAAATTTCCTCTTTTATCAGCCTACTAGTATACATGGAGATCCATAGGGGTCCCCACTATACGTGAACCATTCATCTTAATTCCAAGGCCGTCCCCATACCCCGTCCGGTATGAGGGTGAAGAGGGCCGTCTTCATACCCCGTCCGGTATGAGCGCCAAAACATTTAAAGTCTCCATACTCCGTCCGATATGAGAGACCACGTTCCTAGTAGGGTTCCCTATGGACCCGATCCGTCCACTATCTCCTAGGATATCTAGTGAGGCTATCAACTTATCCATTTATAAATTCATATACCCTTTTTATTTTTCTTAGTCTCAATTACCCAATCAACATGAATACGTAAACTAGTAACGCACGCCAAACAAGGCAACACAACATCGGGTTCACAATAATTCAAACCATAATAGATTAAACAGCGATTCATGCATACGAAACTACATAATAAATAATCAAATACTATACTGTATTTAGATTGTAAAATACATCAAACAGGAACAGACCGACAAATACATTAGGTTCGGGCCCCATTAGCAATCTTAATTAATTATACATATCTATTAATTCATAAAATACCGTTTTATCATTTATTAAGCTTTAATGCCGTGATAGGAAATAGGGTGAGGGATCTTTACTTGTTTCGAAATCTGAAATCAGGTTCTCACTGCGCCTACAGGCAGTCCCTAGATTCCTTGAATTTTTTTTTAGAAACTGAAACACACTTCCGGTACCTGTACATGTCCCCAAAAAATCTCAAATAAGACCTAGGGCCTATTCGGCCAATTTAAGAATTCCGGCATGACAGCCCTGCCGTGCTCCGACGATGGCACCGCCGTCCACGGCGGCGATCTGCCTCGCGTTGGCCATTTCTGGCCGTTTTCGGTCGAATTCAGCCAAACTTGCCTTGGTTACTGTGATAAAACACCCCTAGGGCCCTTGGTGGGCCAAAAACAATCCAGAAAA